CACCTGGGCCCACTTGATTTAATATAGAAGTATGACAGGCACAATAAAAAATATTGTTTGCTCTTACGAAACATTTAAAACAATAGTAAATAAATATTTTAAATTACATAGGTATTGGTTCAGTTAAGACATTTTCTAGAAATTGTTACAACACATTTATATTACTACTGTTCTAAAATATGAACATTATTATTTATAAAAAAGCGATCTCTTTCATTGCGAATATACTCACAAAAAGCTGCATAAAATAGATTTTTTTTACTAAGCAAGCCTCTGTTATGTAATTTTACGAAATATTGTTTAGTTGACACGTTCAATGCTATGCTTTCAATCGTCTTTTGTAACATAATACACGGACAAGGAACGTGATGAGAATTAAAAAATACTATTTATAAACAGATTTTCGCTTTGAATATAAACCGCAGACAGAACCTGTAAGATGCAACAATTATAAATAAGTCTTCACCTGGATACGAATTTGCATAAAAAAACACCGAAAAAAGCCTTGTCCAATCAACATTTTTTTTTACTCCTATTGATGTTCTATTTGAAACCAAAAGTTGATAACCTTCACAATTCAAAGTCACGGTCATTGTAAACAATGTCTTTGATATGGTGTGATCCAGAATGCATTCGCGAGTACAATAACGGGAAGTATGGAGTATGTTTGCAGTGACCTAGGTACTGTTTTCATATTTGCTCTCTCACATTTATTTTGTATTCACCGCACTAGTCACATGTATTACATCTAGTTTTAGATCAATATTACGAATCCGGTCGTGTTAAGAAGAATCTGGTGGCCAGATGTAAGGTGTCAAAGGTCTGTGCTATATCATATCGAAAACTGATTGCTTATCTAAACTGAGCATTGTCAGCGGTGTGTATTCTTTTAATATTCTTATTATGAAAGAAATAAGATAGTTCTTACCTAATTCCATTTTAAATTCCTCCTACATCATCTATACATATACAAAAACAACTACCGTAAATTCCGGCGGATAACGCGCACCGCCATGTAACGCGCACTTATACTTTCAAAGTCCAATTTTTAATTTTTAGGTATATTAGCTGTATAACGCTCACCATTTTTTTTACGAAAAAACCTGAAATGCGTACATGCGCAATGCTTCTATCTTGTGAAGCCATTTATTCGAGATATAGAAAAAATAGAAGTGAGTGAGTGAGAGAATATTAACGTCACACTGATTAGCAACACGAGGGCTTTTGGCGACGGTCCGCCTAATTTTGAACCATGGTCAAGTGACGCGGATGACACCTGAGCTGGCACCCCTCTCTCCTAGCTACCACACCACTCCAACGGGAGGACGTTTGAGCTCTCGACAGATTTAACGTGCATCGCTCCCTACACGGCGGGTCTTTGGTGGTACTAGGATCGAGCTCATGACATGCTAGCCATGATCCGATGCCTAGACCGCTCGGGGCCGCCGAAAATAGAAAAGCTATAGTTATAGCTATAGAAAAAAATACTATAGTTAGAGCTATAGAAAAAAAAATACTATATTTTTAGAACTACAACTCTTTAAGTTCTAAGGGAATTAAATTAAAAAAATCAGCATTTCTGTTCAATAAGCAGTATTTTGATCTAAGTAAAATTCAATTTTTTTTTCTATGCTCATCTTTTTTTATTTTTAAAACTCTTATTTTTATACCCGATGTATAACGTTCGTATGTAAATTTCGATCTTATTTTTCAATTCCTACTATATATGAGTTCACTCTCTCTCTCATATATATATATATATATATATATATATATATATATCTTATTCAAATTTTTAATGTTTAATAAAATACTTTTAATTCATCCATTCAAGTTCAAATACATTTTTTAAACTTGTAGAGGATGGCACTTGATGTTAATACAGTTTTCTTAAATATTAATTCATTAATTAAAATAAAAAGTGAATAAATTGTAAGAAACAAAAATATAGTCCAACATCATATATAGAAAGGAAAATTGTTCCTTGTGTCCCTGTAGCGCAATGGTTAGCGCGCTGCACTTCTCCGTCGTGGGTTCGAAATCCCATCTGGGATGGCTTAATTTCTGAGACTCTGATTCCATTTTTACAATACTTACTTTATTAGAATAATTAAATTTAGTTAGTAAAATAATAATAAACAAAAAAAAATAGTCCAACACCCTATTTAGAAAGGAAAATGGAAAATTGCAAGGGAAATCGCTTTCTATCTTGTCACTTAATATTGTGATTATGTTATATGTATATACATATTTATATTAATAGTAACTGTTTAATAAAAACAAGTAACTAAAATATATTTTTTCTTTGTTTAATCTAATTAGGAATTTGACTTAATTTTTTCTTCTTCTATTTTATATTATTTGTGTTAAAGCTGCGCGTTATACACTGGATTTTAAGGTATATAAATTTTAATAAAAGTAAAATGGCATGAGTATTAAGTTCAGAAGTAATTCTAAATAAATGATTACGTAAGAACATCGACTTTAAATTGGGAACATTAATAAAAAGAAGACAATTTTTTGAATGAAATTAAAATATTTGTATGCTCTACAATTGTGACATTGGTAATTAGTGGTCATGGTCATGAACTCGAGGACCTCTCAGATTTGCCATGGGTCAAAAGAAGGGTGTCAAAGTTAGAAGAATGGGGTGCCATCTGGGATGTCGTTCTCATCTCCTTAAACTCAGTTCAAAATTACGAGGTACATCACCACAATAGCCCTAAAATTATTTCAAGTGTAATCTTAGTAAGCACTCCCTCACTCAATATTAATTGTTTTTTGCTGGATGAATAAGCTTACAAGGAAATTTGAGTTTTTAAAGTATTACGTTACATTAACAATTAAATTTTATAAGAAAATAATCGTTATGGGAAAGTTTTACTAAAGATTAAATAACTCAAAAATTACACACATATAAAAAAATCCTGAAACTAATCAAAGTGGAAAAAAAAGGCCCACAAAAACTTTAAATGAAGTAATAATAATAGAACAATTTTTAATATACGTTATACAAAGCTTATTATATCTAATCATATATGTTACAATTGAGAGATTTTAAAGATCGTTTAACCGTATCTGATTAATTATATTAAGCAATTTCTTACCCTTATTAATGTTATACCTGTAGTACTTATTTAATTTTTACATTACTTTTAAATCCATTCCAATATGCAAAAGCGAATACTTTTGTATCCTATTTTCGCATTCCATTTTGTTTATAGGGAAATTAGTTAAAAATTCACACATCCTTGAAACCTGCACTTGGTATTCAAACCCAAGACCAATGAACCGTTATACTTGCATGACTTTATTCGTTCTTCCAGGAGAACAATCCCTACCTGCAAAGAATTACAACCCTATTTAGAAGCTAATAACTAATTCGACGCGCTAAAAGATTTAAATCAGCAATCAATCTAATCCTTAAAAGGAAAACAATTTCAGTTTTCTGAACAAGAGTAATTTTTAACGTATTAACACATCAGCCGACTTGTAATCCTCATAAGGAAAGGTATCCAGATGAGTGACTTGTCTTCTTTTGTCTGTGGAGTGTATAGAGTCGCCGAAGGTTCCTCGACCCACGCAGGGTTTTTGTCTTGTGGAAGAAGAAGGTGAAAAATGTATATCCGGGGAATTGGAGAAGCAAGTCACGTAATTTGAGTATGACAGAAGACATGATTTAATGAGCGCCTGATTTTCATTGACCATGTATCTCTTCTGTGCATCGCTAAATTCGTCTTTCTTTCTCATTTCCCCTTCTAGAATTTTTCGCAGCTTTTGTTCTTCGGCGGAACAATCAGCTGCGCCTCCGGGATGCATCACAAATTTCCGTCAGCTGGGGCTCGTTAGCATGGTTTGTAATATTCGACATGAAACACTTGAATAATTTATGTTATCTAACTTTTAAAAATCCCAATTATGTTTTAGGTATCAAATATTTAGTTAAAAAACTTGTGAACATGGTTTTAAATATGCATTGTTAATTTAATTTATCTTCCCTTAAGTTCATATCACAATGGAAAAAATTTCATAATTGGTTTCTAAACTCAATGTACAAATGTTTTTAATACAGTTTATGGATCCAGCGTAAAATATTTGCACAATAAAGCTTTTTACTTTAACCACAATTGAGGGACACAAAGCCTTAAATTTATGTACAATTCGCCAAAAAACCCCTATCTATGTCTTTGATATTTGTGTACGAGAAAGTAGTACATGATATACTTTGTTTTACATATAGTGAAGTTCTTTTTCACATACATAGCAAAACTCCTTATAAATACAAATATAAATGTATGTTATTTGTATGTATAACGCACATCATAATAATTTCGTAAACATAGCTTATACGCCTACTATGTTAAACCTTTTTTCGAATAGCATATATTCTCAACAATGCAGTTACATTAGTATCATTATATAATTCAACACTTATTATGTAATATTCACTTTCCTTGAATTTAAGTTACCGATTTTAATATCATGGCATACTTTTAAATATAATTGTGTGAGTAATACATAAAAACAAACCATTATTTATGTGTTTTACCCATATGTGTGAAAGATCTATAATACTATTATTAAAACTTCACACACTTAAACACACGCGTGTTTCCGCACATGCACACGTGCATATATGTGCGTATGTATTTAAATTAATTTTAATAGTTTGATGTCTGATTAATTAAGCTCACTGTTTGCTGTTCAAGTGCTTCATAAAAGTAAATTGAAAATGTTTCTGTCAGTAAATAATCCATGCAAAGATGTATGTTTAACAATAGTAGTTGATGTAGTTATTAATGAACTTACATTAAAAAAAGGATTGTAATAAGGAAAAGGAATAATATTTTAAAGAAAGTAAGTGGACAGAGGGGAATTGAATATTTATTTCAATTTCTAAGTATAAGCTTCAAAAAACTTTATATATTCATAATTCCCTTTCTGAATCAAAATAATTTTGGAGATATACCTGAAAGTTTTGAATAAATTATACATTTATTAAACTTACACGATATTTAGCAATAGATAAATTTAAATTATTCTTTTCCTAATAAATTATATTGATGAATGTGCTTTTGTTTGATTGGAAACAATTTGTTTTTCCTTAGGGGTTTTAATATCTTTTCTTTAAGTACCTTACACAAAATAAGACCGACATTCGGTAAATATTTTTATTCGTATCGAATTCTACAAGATAATTTTGCTTCGATTATTTAAATATGTAAGTAAAAACAAATGGAAAACAATTAGGATTTTATAATTGTTGCTGTTTTAACCAATAAAAGAATATGAAATAAAAAATAATAATTGGAGAAATATATCCCCATAAATCATAACCTGCACTTATATGTATTTTTATTTGAGCACACTCCCCTCTTATTTAACAGCTCGAATGCATTCAAAACCAGCAAATTCTCTTCTTTAACAAAATGTGTCTCCTCTTCTGAATACTGATGAGAGTGAAGTCATAACCGCATGTTTCCTTCGCTCCTGCCAACAATGTAATCGCTGGTGTTTAATTTTTCTGTTGCTTGTTTGTTTGCTTATTTTCGCCATGGATGTCCGCTTAGTTTTAATTCGACGCTACGCTTCGCCGCATCTTGTAGGAAGGGAGAGATAACATTACTATTATTTTTTGCCTTTCATGTAGTTGTTGTGATTAGCTGTGATACATATTATGCTGATTAGTTACATCAAGTAGATAATGAAATATATATATATATATATGCATATATGTAAATAATTTTGATTATCTACTTGATATAACTATAGTTTTATGTAATATTTTGGCTTGGATTTTTCTAAAAAGGCCTTTGTAACTTGTAATATGAGATTTTGAGGATGGAGTCAATTGATTTCAGGCAATCGTTGAGGGATAAATAAGCTTGGCATTTTCAAATCGACATGTATTTTAGGTTACTAAAAAAAGAAAAAAAAAAACGATTTACATGACATTCTCAAAAGCAGCCGTTGTTCTTTCCCGAGATCTATTTATAGTCCTGGATTCAGGAAGATATTAAAATCATGATTTCCACTAAAGGTTTTTTTCGATTGGTTCGCATACGTGGATGATACAAGATTGCGTCATCCCTGATTTAAAAAACACTGAATGCTTTTAAAAAAAGCTTTTTAGGATAGTACTTTATGACTATTTCCCATTAAACAGATAAACTGGAAATTAATTATCACACGAAGACTTAGAGGGCTCAAGATCATAAGGAATTAAAATCTCTCGAGAGAATATTTAAGTGAGTTGTTACATATGTGTGTGTATATAATTAAAATAAATATTACTCCAAAAATATATTTGTCACATGCAACAAAAATGTTTTTTTACAAGAAATATGAGTAGAGAATGATTTCAAATAAAATAAATTATTTCCAATAAAATCTAAATTAATGATACATGTATGCAATTATTAGTTTAGCACAATAAACCTAACAATTCACCAGACACGAAGAATATAAGTAAAACATATAGTTGATCGTGTAAGTCATAACATTTGAAATATGTCGAATTTCTGAAATAATGGTGTCCATTAAAAACAAAACTGATAATTTCTCTTATTGAAACAATCAATAAAAATTAAAATTTAGCTTCTCAAAATTGAAAGGATAATCGAGTTTATTTTATTTAATTAAAAGTAATTATTATTATATTCTGTGATTCAAGCTAATCCAAAGATTTAAAAATATTTCTTAAAAATTCATTTCTTTAATGAATTAGATAGAAATCAAAATTTTTTGAACGATGAACTTAAAATATTAAAATGTTTTTGTTGGAATATATCATGCGTGTTTGGTTAAATAATGTGAATATCAAAAATCTACCACAGAGTGGTGTAAAAGTTAGGAGTAAACGATTCATTAGGTATTTTTTCATCTGATTATTTTCAAATACCAAGCTACTTGTCAATTTTCCTCCTGTAGATATAGAGTGAAAGTTGAATTCAAATCAAATAAGTCATTGGAATAAAAGGGAACATAAAAAAGCAGTGTGTGTGGGGGGATCGAAAATAAATCTTACCAATATTACATTAAAGAAGACCTAAAAT